GCGCGCTGCCTCTCGTTGCGCGTGGCTGGCTTGCGTGAGCTAGCTGGCTGCTTCGCCTTTGGTCGCGCGCGGAGCGGGTGAGTGGCCGTGGGTGAAGTGGAGAGCAGGGGGATGCGCGAAAAGAGGGAAAAACTGCACTGGTCTGCTCGATCTGGAGTCGCGGTGGCCAAGAGAAGAGCTGAGCGAGGCGTTTGGCGGATGACTGCGCACCGTGCGCAGCTGGCTTGATCCGTGCGCGCAGTGGGGCGTTGCTCGCACGAGCTGGCCGTGCGTAGGCAGCTGGTGGCTGGTGAAGCTGCGCGCACAGTGGGCGCCTGCTTCGTGCGGCCATGTGGCGGCGAGTGCAGCGGCGTCGCTGCTCGCTGTGCGTGGGCTGGGCTGCGCTGGCGGAGGAGGTGGGCGAGCAGAGGGGTCGCGCGAGGCTGCTAGAGCTCGCGCGCGCCTGGTGGCGTGCGGCGCTGCGAGTGGCGGCGCGCAACTGGGCGCGGGCGTGATGGGCGGCGCGCTGGGCTGATGGCGCGATCCGGCGGCTTGCAGGGTGATGGCGGCGGACAAGGCAAAAGAGGGGAAAGAAGAAAAGAAAGAAAAGAAGGAAGAAGAAGAAAGAAAAAGAAAAAAAAGAAGAAGAAAGAAGGAGTAGGGCTACGGGTCCTTTGAAAATTTTCCTTTCTTCTTTTTTTTTTCAAGGGCAATTTGGTCTTTTTAACTTTTTTTTTTTTAAACGTGACCACCTGGCGTGGGCACGCTCAACTGCCATAGAGTCCGCAGAACCTGAACGAAAATTTCCTCCGTCAGGCGTGACCATCTGGCGTGAGCACGTCTAACTACTATGGAGTTCGCAGAACCTGAGCGAAAATTCCTTTTCTTCAGGCGTGACCACCTGGCGTGGGCACGGTTAACTACTATGAAGCCCGCAGAACCTGAACGAAAATTTCCTCCGTCAGGCGTGCCCACGCCAGATGGTCACGCCTAACCGCTAATTCCCTGCCACCAAATATCAAACCATTAATTGACACTAACACTTAACTAAAACTTCAAAAATGCATGAAAACTGAGACAAATAGTCTTGGGTTGCCTCCCAAGTAGCGCCTTTCTTTAATGTCTTTGGCTAGACATGGCCAAGACCCTCAAGCATGATAAAGTGGATCTTGGAGGTGTTTAACTTCCACTTCTTCAACAGAGAACCCCTCATAATAAGCTTTGAGACGATGGCCATTCACCACGAACTTTTTCTCCGTTTTTAAACTTTGGATCTCCACTGCACCATAATGAAACACATTAGAAACGACAAATGGACCAATCCAACGAGAACGCAACTTATCGGGAAAAAGTTTAAGCCTCGAGTGATACAAGAGGACTTTTGACCCCACTACAAAAGATTTTCTGGAAACCTGTTGGTCATGAAAGATTTTACTCTTTTCCTTATAGATCGTGGCATTTTCATACGCTTCATTTTTTATCTCCTCTAACTCTTGCAGCTGCAATTTCCTTTGGACCCCTGCTTCGTCTAATCCCATGTTACATTGCTTCACTGCCCAAAACGCCTTGTGTTCGAACTCCACGGGAAGATGGCAAGCCTTACCGAAAACAAGTCTATAAGGAGACATCCCAATTATACGCGGTTCTATACGCCCATAGTGCGTCTTCTAGTTTTAAACTCCAATCCTTCCTATCCGGACGCACCATCTTCTCCAAGATCGACTTGATTTCCCTGTTTGACACTTCGGCCTGACCGTTTGCCTGCGGGTGATACGGTGTGAATACCTTATGGAGTACACCGTATCTTCGAAACAAGGCAGTGATAGTCTTGTTGCAGAAATGTGTCCCTCTATCACTAACTACAGCTCTTGGCATTCCGAAACGGACAAAGATATTAGATTTTAAGAACTCTGCAACCACTCTGGAATCATTAGTACGGGTGGCTTTTGCTTCCACCCATTTAGAGACATAATTTACAGCAAGTAAAATGTATAGGAAACCAAAAGATGAGGGAAAAGGACCCATAAAATCTATCCCCCAAACATCAAAAATTTCAACAAAGAACATGGGGGTTTGAAGCATTTGGTCCCTACGAAAAATATTCCCCACCCTTTGACACCTATCACAGGATTTACAGAATGAATAAGCATCTTTGAACAGGGTAGGCCAGTAAAAACCACTCTCCAACACCTTGCGAGCTGTTCGTTTGGGCCCAAAATACCCTCCACATGCAAACGAATGACAGAAATTTAAAATGGAGTGAAATTCACCTGCACTTACACACCTCCTGAGCACTTGATCCGAACATTGTCTCCAAAGGTACGGGTTGTCCCAAATATAATATTTGGCATCATTCTTCAACTTGTCTCTCTTAGCCTTTAGCCACCCTGCAGGCAGTTGATTAGTCACTAAGAAATTTACTAAATCGGCATACCAGGGTACAGACGAGTTAATAGCAAGTAGTTGTTCCTCTGGAAATGCCTCCCTCAATGGTGGCTCCTCCCTATGAGCAAGCAAGCGGCTCAAGTGATCAGCGACTAAGTTTTCTGCCCCACTCTTATCTTTAATCTCTAAGTTGAACTCTTGAAGGAGCAGGATCCATCTGATGAGCCTTGGTTTAGCATCTTTCTTTGTCATCAAATATCTCAAGGCTGCATGATCAGAAAAAACTATTACTTTTGCACCTAACAAGGTCTAAATTTTTCTAGTGCAAAAACCACAACTAGCAATTCTTTCTCTGTTGTAGAGTAGTTGAGTTGAGCTCCATTCAACGCTTTGGATGCATAGTAGATTGCATGAGCAGCTCTGCCAACCTGTTGCCCCAGCACCGCTCCCACTGCATAATCAATTGCGTCACACATTATCTCAAATGGGAGGCTCCAGTCTGGAGGTTGGATAACCGGTGGTGATGTCAATGACTCCCTCAACCTGTCAAATGCCACATTGCACTCTTTGGTGAAGTCAAATGCCACATCTTTTTGCAACAGTTTGAACAGGGGCGCTCCAATTTTGGAAAAATCTTTGATGAATCCCCTGTAGAACCCTGCATGACCCAAAAAGGAGCGCACCTCCCGCACACTTGCGGGGTAAGGTAAAGCAGAAATAATATCGACTTTTGCCTTGTCTACCTCTATACCTTTGGCTGACACTACATGCCCTAAAACAATACCATGATCCACCATGAAATGACATTTTTTCCAATTCAGAACCAAATTTGTCTCAATGCATCTTTTCAAAATTAAAGCTAAATTATCAAGGCATTCATCAAAACTATCTCCATACACACTAAAATCATCCATAAACACCTCAATAATCTTTTCTACATATTCAGAAAATATACTTACCATACACCTCTGAAAAGTTGCTGGGGCATTGCAGAGGCCGAAAGGCATCCTCCGATATGCAAATGTACCGAAGGGACAGGTGAAGGTAGTTTTCTCCTGATCCTCTGGTGCTATTGCGATCTAAAAATAACCAAAGAAACCATCAAGAAAACAGTAATAGACACGGCCAGCTAACCTTTCTATCATCTGATCAATAAAAGGTAGAGGGAAGTGGTTCTTCTTTGTCACAGCATTCAGACGTCGATAGTCAATGCACTGGCGCCATCTTGTGGGTTTCCTCACCGGGACCATCTCACCCTCTTGGTTCTCTTCAACTGTTACTCTCGCCTTTTTCGGGACTACTTGCACTGGGCTCACCCAAAGACTATCTGAGATGGCGAAGATAATCCCCACTTCTTGGAGTTTGAGTATCTCCTTCTTCACCACTTCCATCATCAGTGGGTTCAATCTCCGTTGCGCCTGCCTCACTGGTTTCGCATCCTCCTCAAGCCGGATCCAATGCATGCATAAAGAGGGGCTAATTCCCTTGATATCTGCTACGCTCTACCCAATTGCCTCCTTATGATTCCGAAGAAGACGAATTAGTCTGTCTTCTTGCCCTGGTGACAGGTGTGCAGATATGATGATTGGCAGTGTCTTATTGTCCCCGAGAAAAACATACTTCAAATGCTTTGGGAGAGGCTTGAGCTCCAACTCAGGCGCCTGCACAATAGAAGGCAACAATTTTGCCTGAGTTTCTGGTACAAAAATAGAAGTAAGCTCATACCTTGGAGAAATTGGTGGGAGCGAATGCAGTGCTCCAACAGCCCGGTACAACTCATCACTCAATTCTACATCAGGAGTTACTCCCAACTCAAGATGTTTGGCTAATGCCACTGCTAGTGCATCAACCCCATCCAATTCAAATATTTCCTGTACAAGGGGCTCAACAACACTTAAAGCATAAACAAAGTTAGTCTCATCTGGGTACTTCATCGCATCAAAAATATTAAAATTTACAATTTCTCCATCAAACTCCATTGACAAAGTACCCTCATTTACATCTATTTTCATCCTAGCAGTGCTTAAAAATGGCCTACCTAACAAAATAGGAGACGGATTTAGTGCCCTTTCATCCCCCATGTCTAGGATATAGAAATCTATAGGAAAAACTAACTCATTGACCTGCACCAAAACATCTTCAACTAACCCTTCTGGGTAAGCATTGGTACGGTCTGCAAGTTGGATTATAATGCCTGTGCCTTTTAATGGACCAAGATTAAGGGACGTATAAATTATTTTAGGCATTACATTGATTGACGCCCCTAAATCCAACATTGCCTTCCTAATCGAGGCACCTCCTATCTTGCAGGGAATGGTGAATATACCTGGATCTCCACATTTTGGTGAGAGTTTTCTCTGGAGTATAGCTGACACGTTTTCTCCCACCGCCACTAGTTCATCTCCCCTTAGCTTCCTCTTGTGAGTGCACAAGTCCTTCAAAAATTTAACATACTTCGGTATCTGCTTGATTGCATCCAACAGGGGAATGTTGATCTCCACTTTCCGGAACACATCCAAGAGCTCTTTTTCCTTCTCTACCTTCTTTGTCTTTTCCAACCTGCAAGGAAAAGGGGGTAAGTTAGAGCTAATAGTGAGTGGAGAGGTGGAGGTTACCTTAGGATCTTCTCGGATACGTCATTCCTCTTCAATTTCCTTTTCTATCTCCTCCTCACTTTTGCTCTTTGAATTTTTCACTTTAGGACCTTCCAGTTCCTTTCCACTCCTCAGCGTCATGGCACTTACATTCTTGGGATTCACCTCGGGCTGCGATGGCAGTTTCCCATAAACGTGGGACTCCAAGCGGTTAATGGCAGTTGGCAGTTGGCTTATTCGAGCGTCTTGGTCCTTCTTGTCCGCCTTGGTGTCCTGCTGGAGCTGCGCGGTATTTGCCGCTAAGGATCTGATCTCCTGATGAAGCTGAGTAGTAGTCGTGGTCAGGCTTTTGACTAGGTCCTCCAAGGAGCTTCCTGAATTTGAGGATGAGGGTTGAGATTTTGGTTGCCACGGCTGGTGGAATCCTGGTGGACGATTCGAGAATGAATTTGGTTGCCTGTTCCCATAAATGAGATTGGGATGGTCTCTCCAACCGGGGTTGTATGTGTTGGAATACGGGTCATACTGCCTGCGGGGCGCGAGCACGCCTCCGGCCATATTTACCTGTTTCGCCCCGTCCTCTTGCAGAATGGGGCACGAATCCGTGCAGTGGTCCATGCTAGTACAGATTCCACACACCTTTGCTCGCGGTGTGTCTCTCATGGCCAATTGTCTGACAGCAGACGTCAACTCTGACAGTTGCTGATGGATGGATGACGTCTCTGCCTCATTGAATCTACGGGTATGAGTGCTCTCACGGAAATCGAACTGCTGAGAGTTTTCTGCCATGGCTTCAATAAGGTCCCATGCTTCCCTCGGTGTCTTGTTCGCTAGGGCTCCCCCACTCGCAGCGTCAATAATACTCCTGTCAGTTGACTGGAGCCCTTCGTAGAAATACTGGATCAACAGTTGTTCACTAATCTGATGCTGTGGGCATCTAGCGCACAACTTGTTGAACCTTTCCCAAAAATCGTACAATGACTCCCCGGAGTACTGCTTGATGCTGCAAATCTCCTTCCTCAAACTTGCAGCCCGGGATGCGGGGAAAAATTTCTCCAGAAATTTCTTTTTCAATTGTACCCATGTGGTGATACTACCTGCAAGTAGGTAGTATAGCCAATCCTTCGCTGCATCCTTGAGAGAGAAGGAGAAGGCTCTCAATCTTATTTGCTCTTCAGTGACCCCAGGAGGTTTCATGCTAGAGCAAACTACTTCGAATTCCTTGATATGTTTGTAGGGTTCTTCGCCAGAAAGACCATGGAACGAAGGCAGGAGCTGAATCAACCCCGATTTCAGCTCGAAAGAGGTATTTTCAGCCAGAGTTGGGAACGTGATGCACAAGGGCAGATGAGTCAGGTCTGGGGTAGCCAGCTCCCTTAATGTCTGTGTGTTGGCCATGCTAAATTCTTTTTCTACTGACTCGTTTGAAAAAGATAAGTGCCCTTCTTTTCGTCTCTTGGTTCTTGTCTTCGCCTACGCGCTGCCTTCTCAACCTCAGGATCGTATATCAATTCACCTGTGCGAGAGGAACGAGGCATAAACTAGCAAAAATACCAAGAAAAATAAAATAACAAAAACTAAATAAAAAAACTGAACTCGAAAAGAAACAAATAATTCCGATGCCAGTCCCCGGCAGCGGCGCCAAAAATTGACAGGTGCCGAACCTGTGCAATAATAATAAATAAAACCTAATTACCACCTGAAACAGTCAGTAATCAATTCGAGTACTGGAGCAGGGACTCTAGGTGTGCAATGAGTTACTTGATTCACCCTGTTCCCGAAAAGTTTGCTTAATCCGATATACCTGAATTAATTCCTTAACTGAATTTCCTAACTAGTAGACAGTGATAAGTAGGGTCGTCTCCTCAGGGACTGGAGAGATATTTGTTTCTTTTCAAATCAAGATTAATGGAGGGGGGTTTTGGTATCAAATGCCAACTGGACAAATTAAATGCAGAAAATAATTTAATTAAGAGAAATGAATGAGAGAAACTCTAGCCAAGGGTGTACTTCAGAAATGGTTCATGCACTGATCATCGATTCACAGATAATCCCAACATTTATTAATAGATCAGTTATAGTTGTCATACACGCGATAAACAACCAACCCTTCCTTAATTTATCGATAGCTAAGGTACGACCGTTAGCTATTTCTTTAACTCAAAAATAATCCTAGGTACGACCGTAGGATTTAATTTCTGGTTTGCATTAATAATTACAAAGGCCCAATCCTAATTAACAAACACGCTACGAGGGTTTGTTTAAATTAGATCAAATATTCTCCTGACACAAATCCAATAATGCCAGGTGCTACTGGGATAGAGATAACGAACAATTACGGATTCAATTACCCCTATATAGCAAAATAGCCTATGTGAATAATTAATTATTGCGCACTAACCAATCATACACAAAGCTATAGCGATTAAGAGCAAGGAACATGTAAATATCAATAAATGAAGAGAGCAATTAACAATGGTTTAGATCTCACAGTATTAGTTGAACCAATTCATCAGTTGTCCCCTTGTCTAGAGTTAGGGGTTTAGTTCCCCATTAGTGAGCATGCGATGCGGACGAGGTTAGAAAAAGCCATCGATTTGGTCGCTTTCGAGTGTCTTCCGATTCTCACTGCACAGAGGGTACGCACTCTCAATTCAATTCGGTCAAAGCTAAGATGGGAGGCAATGCCCAAGGTCCACAATTGCAGCTGCTTTTTGATTCCTTTCTTCCCTCACAAAACGTATGAGAGATTGCTTTGCTTGGTTTCTTCAATTTAATTGAGTCAATGGAGAATAGCCAATTGCTCAAGTCAACAGAGGATGGAAAGCAATGAAAAGTCAACAACAATGGCTCTGTCCTTTCTTTTCCAGCAATACATACGAGAGATTCAATTCAAATTGTTTGATTTCTCCAATGGTCTAGACTAACGAAAGAAAATCCAAAGGCAGCCCCAAAGTCAACAAAAACGGCTATTGCTTGCTGCCTTTCTCTCTACAAAGCTGGGCTCTCTAGTCTCCTCAGAGACAAGGAAAACAAAACAAAGGAAAAAACTCCCCCCTAACCTAAGCCGCGCGAGAGATAAGTACAATCCCCCACAATAGCCGAAAAATTGTTACTTGTTTTCAAATTGCAGCCAGACTCCCTAGAAATGTATTAAAATAAAATCTATTACAATTAGGTTTCTTCAGCTTCTCAAACGGGCCCCACGTCCGATGACTCTTCTAAAAGTTGAATTTAAGCACTTTTCAGCAACCATTCCTGCAATTAGCACCAAAACAAAATATCAGTAGAATCCACCCAATTAACGAAAATATTTAGTCAATTAATTGTGCAATAATGCCCAAAATACCCACTAAAATGCAACCTATCACTTATGTTTTTCCCAAATGCTTTCCCACGTTTTTCACTCTAATCACCCCTAGAAACAATCAAGTACCAAAGTAGTATGCTTTATCAGATGGGCAGCCAATCGGATAGCGCGCTAAAAATAAAAAAAGCATGTATGTTTCAGTACTGACGGAACTTTGAAGAGCAACTTACGATCCTAAAAAAGTCCCTCCCCTCTAATGTTTTCCACTGCAATTAAGAGTCCTCCAATTTTAGAATTCTACTGCAATTAAAACTCCTCCAAAATATAGCATCCTCATTCAACTTTCGTGCATGTTCATTCCTTATCTTTTGGCTAACGAAAATAACAATTTATTATCTCTTTCAACTTTTTTATGGTGTCAATCTCAATCATTAACTTAATGTCACTATGGAACTTGTCGTCTACAAACATTTCAACGATAGCTAAACTTCAAACTCGCAATATTGCAAAGGAGGAACATTTGCTTAGAAAATGAAATGTACACCTCTACGATTCCACACATCAGTCCGAAAAATTTCAGTAACTTTGCATTGACGAAAGAGAACTCTCACATTAAATTCGACGGACACAAACCAAACTACACCGATTAAAACGCCGTTAGCACCAAATTAGAGATTTTGGTACTTTCCTCTTTAAATATTGGCATTTTCGTTGTAATTTCAAATATTATTTCCGATACTGTAATATTTTTGATTGATTAATGATGTTACTGTCTTTCGTCTTTGTATAGAAGGGAAATATTACGTAATAGATCATAGTTCTAAACTCATTTTCTCATGATTCAACAGTAACTTATTACAAATTGTAAAAGTTGGCATAAAAATTTATTTTATGATCAGAACAACAGACGTTCATTTCTAGTTTTTTGCCATCATTTTTCCTATGGTACAAATATTAGTATTTGATTTCTAATGGAACCAAATTCCCTCAACACACAAAGATGACGGAATTTTTCATAAGCCGCTAAGCAATTTTATAGATTATGTTGTTAGATGCTATTTAGAATTAGCGTGGCAGTTCCTCAAGAGCACATAAAATGAAATAAGTCAACCAATTATAAATCAGACTGTTACCACCAGGTACTTTTAATTCTTGGACTTTTCTTCGCTTACGGATACTAGAGAAAAATAAATTACTGTTACTCCATATTGTGGCAAGCTATACTTGCGTAAAAACACTGAGACGTTCTAAAATAAAATAAAATTTGAACGCAATCGTTTCTTACTTCTTCCCACACAATTCAAACAACAATAATTCGTGGAATTCTTCTATAGATTTGCAATTTGTCTATATCTATATGTATTGCAGTGGGATTTTGGATAAGAAGATTCCAAAATTGTCAAAAGCCTGAATGCTATGTTAATAGAATTTTATATTTTTATAATTAAGAAATGATTATCTATTAACTAATCCTATAACCGCTCCTACAAATCCTATAATCATGTTCAAATTTTTCCCACAATCCCCTCCACGTTTTCAACTCTAATTGCTCATGGAAATAATCAAGTAGCAAATTAATATTCATTATCAGATGGGCAGCCAATTGAAAAACGTGCTAGAAATCAGTAAGAGCATTTATGTTTCAGTCCCGACGGAACCTTGAAGAGCAATTTACGAGCCTATAAAAGTCCCTCCCCTCCAATGTTTCCCACTCTAATTAAGAGTTCTCAAATTTAAGAATTTTATTCCAATTAAAACTCCTCCAAAACATAACATACTCTTTCAACTTTCTTGCATGCTCATTCGTTAGCTTTTGGTTAAAGAAAACAAGATTTTATTATCTCTATCAACTTTTTTATGGTATCGATCTTAGCACTTAAATTAATTTCACTATGGAACCTGCCCGTCTACAAACATTTCAACGACAGTTAAATTGCAAATTTGCAGGATTGCAAAGGAGGAAACATTTGCTTAGAAAATGATACGTACGCTACAACGATTCCATACGTCAGTTCAAAAAGTTTCAATGACTTTGCATTGACGAAAGAGAACTCCCACATTAAATTCGAAAAATAAAATTCCAATTATACAGATTAAAATGTCGGTCGTATCAAATTAGAAATATTGGCATTTTCACTGTAATTTGAAAAATTATTCCCAATACTATAATATTTTCGATTGATTATTACTGTTTCTGTCATTCGTTCTTTCAATAGAAGGGAAATATTACGTAATAGGTCATAGTTCTAGATTCATTTTCTCATAATTTAACAACTTATTACAAATTACAGCAGTTGGAATAAAAATTTATTTTTTGATCAGAACAATAGATGTTCATCACTATTTTTATGCTCTTATTTTTTTTCTATGGCACAAGTGTTGCTATTTGATTTCTGATGGAACCAAATTCCCTCCACATACAAAGTTGATGGAATTTTTCATAAGCCGCTTAACAATTTTATACATTATGTAGTCAGACACTATTTAGAATTAGCGTGGCGGTTCCTGAAGAGCACATAAAATGAAGTCAACCAACTCTAAATCAGACTGTTACCACCGCGTACACTTAACTCATGGACTTGTTTCGCTTACGGATACTAGAGAAGGATAATTAATTGTTACTCCATATTATGGCAACTTATGCTTACCTAAAAGCACAGAGACTTTCTAAAAATAAATAAAATTTGAATGCAAGTATTTCGTGTTTCTTCCCCTACAAGTTAGACGACAATAAATCGTTGGAATTCTATTACAGATTAGCAATTTTTTCGTACCAATATGTATTGCAGATGTGGTTTTGGATAAGGAGCTACCAAAATTGTCAGAAGTCGAAATGCTATTTTAGTAGAATTTTAAATTTTATAATTAAGAAATGTTTATCTCATAACTAATCCTATTACCGCTCCTACAAATTCGATAATCATGCTTACGTTTTCCCCAGATGCCTTCCTACGTTTTCCACTCTAATCATCCCTGGAAACAATTAAGTACCAAAGTAATATGCTTTATCAGATGGGCAGCCAATCGGATAGCACGTTAAAAAAAAAAGCATGTATGTTTAAGTACTGATGGAACCTTGAAGAACAAC